AAAAAAAATGGAACATTACGTGAGAGCAAGTTTTCTGTAAGCAGACTTGATATCCTGATCAGAAGAATCCCTAGACACACACAACACCTCATATGGATCCCTACGCACCACTGGAGCCGATGGCCCCTTCTTTTTCGAACCCCCCATTCTTCTTCTCTAGAAATTAACCTCCTCCCTTATCTCTATTTTTCCTTCTTTCTATAAATAAACTATGTCCATTTTTTCATCTTTTTGCATCCAATGAAACTTACCTCTTCTATTTCAGCTACATAAATACTGAATAGCATTATTCACCCAAAGCTCACAATTTATTTAGATAACGCATACAGAGAAAACTTTTGTCTGCCAATCTGCAAGCAAAACACAATTGGAACAAACAAAACTTCATCAAAAGACCCAAAATTTTGTGAATAAACGAGCTAGAATTTGCGGGGCTAAATTCAATGCATTGGAAAGCTTCAAATTTCCATCGAGATCAATGCATAAGGTGTCCGCCCACAATTATTATATATTCATTTCACCCTATATTCATTCCTTTCAAAATTTAAAATATTATCATTTTCATCCATGTCGAATTCTAAAAATTTTCTTATTATATTCATTTATTTAAATACCATATTTTCACGTAAAATTTGTATATTCATCTCACTTTAAATACATCCTTAATACAATTTTAAAATTTTAAAAAATCATTATATTCATCCAAACTTTAATAAAAAATAGCGGAGTGTAAAGCCATTAATGTTGGGGCAAGACTCCCATCTTCTCAGACGATTTTGTTCTTTCAAAAAGAAAAATAAAAACTGGTGAAATTTGTCTTCATGTATTCTCTCTAATGGTAAATACTAAATTCATCAAATTCATGATAAAACGTAATTCTTACATTTTCAAATTCTTCCACATATATTGGTATGTCTTCATGTATTTCATCTAATAATAACTATTCCATTATTGTTTTGATTTCAGTTGAATATGATATTTTATGATTATTAGCAATTTATGATTTTAGTTGAAGATGATATTTTATGATTATTAAAGTTTTAATTAAACACAAATTTTAAATAAATATAAAAAGGTTCAAGAGAATTTATGATGCATTTGATTGCGAGCATAAAATTTGTATGAGAAGAAAATAAATTTCAAGCAATTTGTATGAAAATTATTAATTTAATGTATTTGATTCATTTAGTTTTTGAAGTTAGAAAATATTATACTTGTCAATTTTTTATTCGTGGGTAGACGAGAGAGATGGGATAGATAAGAGAGTGACAGAGATAGTGAATTTCCTAGAAAATAAAATCTTACCATCCCTAAAGGAAATATTTTCCTTGATTTTGCGGAAAATATGATCACGTGTCTAAAAGTAAGAAAATGTTTTTTATAGAAAAAAAAATGTCAATCAATCAGTACAAAAGTAGAAATTTGGATCGAAAAACACATTTTTCATGGTAAATATTGGTCATAAAATGCACCCTAATGAAAATAAATATCAGTGAATGAATTTAAAACGATATATTTTTATTTAATTTTATATATGCATATTTAGGTAAATTTACATATGATTAAAAATATAATATAATTATATATAAACGGTAAAAATTGGAACAACGATTTTAAAACCCTTAAATTTGAAAATTGTTAGGTTTAGATTTTTAAATTGTTAAAAACCTTTAGAAACAACAATTCATCCGATTTAAATAAAAATACTATTTGTCTTATCCAAAATACTAATTATTAGTTCAAGTTATACTTCAAAATAATAATAATTTCTAGTTCATTTCCAATCTTTAGAAAAATATTATTTTATGATAATATTTTATTTCAAAATAATGAATTTGTAAGTTTAAAAATTTTGTGACTGAAGCTTGTACTAATTTATTGTTTTAAACTTTTATATTGAAACAAATACATTATTATTATTATTATTATTATTATTATTATTATTATTATTATTATTATTATTATTATTATAAAGTTTATGTTAGAATGTTTAAATTATTTTTATTTGTTTAAAAGATATTATTTTTATGCTGTTAAAATCGTAGTTTGTTATCAAATCAAACCGTCAAAAATGGTTTGATTTGAAAATGAGGTGGTTTGGATTGATTTACAATTTTTCCAGATTATGTAGGTTTGAAAATAGTTCAAAAATCACCTAAACCAAACTGTGCTCATCCAAGATGGCAAGCGATAGCATGAACAAGTTTGAATTGCCAATCTTGTTGGGGTAGTGTTTTATAAATTTTAATATAAAAAGAAATCAACGGGTGGATAAGTGGATAGTGTGCATGGATCTATTGCAATATATTGATAAAACACGAGCCAAAATATATCCTAAATGTCCATAAATATTTCAATCTTATTCATTTGGATAACTACGCTCTAGTTTGATATTAATCGGCTACTACCATTTGATTTGATTTGATTTCAGTTCTATCGTTATAAGTTGATGAAATGATGCTTAAGCTTTGTTTAAGCCCCATTTTTGGGAAAAAAAATTTGTAATAGTGATTTTTTGAATAATGTGTGGTTAAAATAAATTAGATTTACATGCAAAATTTTGTTATTGGAAAAATTTGTAACTGACAATGAATTTAAGGAAAAATGATTTTCTAGATAATTGGGCTCAAAAGGGGGTTTAATAAATAATTATTATCACACTTATAGATGATAAAAATGGAATAAACATTAAGCCCTGTTTGAGCCCCATTTTAATGTGATATTGGAAGAAAAGCCGTGCTACATGTACCGAGGGGAGTTACCGAATGGTGTCCCCCTCTCACATCGGGGGAGTGAGGCCTCAGCTCGACATTTTTTAATGCACGCGGGGCCCGCAAATCATGTGTGAAGGGGGACACAATTCGATAGTTCCCCTCGGTACAAATATCATTACAGAATATCAAATAAAATCAAAATATTACATTCTTAATATTATTTTGAAGTACTTACGATCTAGTTTTCATGTCGTTAATGGTACGCGGAACTGCCAATCGTAGTAAATGTTGAGGAGTGTTAAAGTAGGTCATTCCAAACTAATATTTCAAAAATTTCAACGATCGTACGCTAATCGAATCCATAAATCTTTTATGTTCTCTCAAAGCTTGTTTCGAGAACTACGTCATAGACATATCGAATTATCTAAATAAACATCGAAAATAGTTAAACGTACGTCAAATATGTGTGTTAAAAAAGGTGTATAACTCGTCTTTTAAAAAAAATCGATTATTTCATTAACTTTTATTTTTGCGCGACAAATTTTTCAATATAACTTACATCATTTTATTAGAAAATTTTACATGTGATATGACGTTAAATTTTTTTTTTTTTGGACGTATTACTTTATATGGTTTATGAATTGTTATACTACTTTTTCATCTTGATTATTTTTACATTCAAAAAATTTATATAAAAAAATTTATCGATCATTTTTAGGAATTTTTTTTATTATTTTTACTTTTCCTCTCGATCATCTAATAAGATTTCTGACATCATTTAGAAAATTTCCTAATAAATTTTTAAAATATTTTAAATGACGTCTCGTTTGACATTAACGTCAAATTTTTTACATTAATGTAAAACATAGTCTCTCGGTCATTTAGGAATTTTTTTAAAAAATACTTACATAAAAAAAAAATTGACATCATACTCTAGTATGTTTATGATGCAGTTTTGGAAACGAATTTCAAGATAATATACATGATTTATAGATTCGACTAGCGTACGATCGTCGAAATTTTTTTAAAGTTAGCATGCTATTGAAATTATCGAAATATTAGTTTAGAATGACCTACTTTGATACTCTGTAATATTTGTTACGATTGGCCGTTATGCACCATTAGCGACATGAAAAATTAGGTCGTGAGCACTTCAAAATGATATTAAAAATGTAATATTTCGACTTCGTTTGATATCCTGTAGTGACCCGAAAATTAAGACAAAAACATAAGATATTAATGAATTTATTAATATTTTCTCCAAGCGAACAGTCAACTTCCTTTTCCTTTTCCTTTCACCGACACATCACCCTCCTTTTGAATTTCTATAAAGTCTTCGAAAGCAAGTTCTGAAGCTACATTGTTTTGGGATAGTAATTTTTTTGGAGAATGTGGGGTTAAAAAATAAGAAATTCTTTTTGGTTTACGTATAATAGAATTTTATGGAAGAATGCAGTTAAAAATGAATTTTAAAAAAATGTATTTTGAAAATAATTATAAATTTTAATATAAAAAGAAATGAACGGGTGGATAAGTGGATAGTGTGCATGGATCTATTGCAATATATTGATAAAACACGAGCCAAAATATATCCTAAATGTCCATCAATATTTCAATCTTATTCATTTGGATAACTACGCTCTAGTTTGATATTAATCGGCTACTACCATTTGATTTGATTTGATTTTAGTTCTATCGTTATAAGTTGATGAAATGAAGCTTAAGCTTTGTTTAAGCCCCATTTTTGGGAAAAAAAATTGTAATAGTGATTTTTTGAATAATGTGTGGTTAAAATAAATTAGATTTACATGCAAAATTTTGTTATTGGAAAAATTTGTAACTCACTGAATTTAAGGAAAAATGATTTTCTAGATAATTGGGCTCAAAAGGGGGTTTAATAAATAATTATTATCACACTTATAGATGCTAAAATGGAATAAACATTAAGCTCTATTTGAGCCCCATTTTAATGTGATATTGGAAGAAAAGCCGTGACATGTATCGAGAGGGTTACCGAATGGTGTCCTTCTCTCACATCGGGGGGTGGGGCCTCAGCTCTACATTTTTTAATGCGCGCGGGGCCCACAAATCATGTGTGAAGGGGGACACAATTCGGTAGTTTCCCTTGGTACAAATATCATTTCTCTTGGAAGGAAATATATTTTGGAATCAATTAAACTACACATGCAGAACTTGCATCAAAGAGACTTCATAGAAATTCAAAAAGGGAGGGGGTGGGAGGGAAGGAAAATGGACTGTTCGGGGTGGACAAAAATATTAATAAATTCATTAAATTTTTTATGTTTTATTTTAATTTTCGAGGTCATTACAGAATATCAAATAAAATCAAAATATTACATTCTTAATATTATTTTGAAGAACTTACAACCTAGTTTTCATGTCGTTAATGGTACGCGGAACTGCCAATCGTAG